TCCCCCCCCGATCGGGGGACCGGGGGGCCGAGCCTCGGTGCATCAACCCCCATCGGGGGGGACCCGCTTCCCCACTTCACCTTTGCCCATTGAGAGTTGGCTTCCTCCCCCCCCCTCCCCCCGCCTAAGGGTGCGTCGACCCCAGAGGCATAGTGAGGGACGGGGTGTTATGTGCCCAGGGACAAAGGCAAAATGTGTCATTTTTCCTCCCCCGCACGGCCCCGAACCTAGTTAAATTTGGTAAAAGTCCACTTCAGGCTTTATTGAATCTGACCTGTCTTCCCTATTCATCACCAAAAAGAGGGAAATTATTTTACAGCAGGTGAAAAAAATCAATGCTAATAGCCAAGGCTCCGGTTTACATAGGGCATTAAGAATGTGCCCAGAAATAATGCTGCTCGTGCATAATGCCACCTTGCTGTCCTAAATTTAGTATTCTCAATCTGCATATGGATCATCTAGGGCCACGGTGTCCAACACTCTAGCCGCTTGTGGCTATTTGGCCAGTTGGGTGTGGCTAGTTGGCTTGAACAATGTAGCTATTTGACCAGTTGAGCGTGGCTAGTTCCCTGTAATCACTATAGTGGCTACTGATTCAGAACTGATTGGACAGCATGCATCTAGGAGTTAAAAGCATGGTACTGAGTGTCAAAAGATGAACAGTAAATAATTCCAATTCTACCACCGATTGGGTATATGGACATGGGCAATTTTGTAAAATCCTCATCACCACATTGCTTTGAAAGTACCATGGCAAAATACAATAGCAAGGGAGAGGGAAAGATTATCTTTTTTGTCACATATACATGGTCAACAGTTTGTTTTCCTCCAGTCTCAGTACAATTGTAGGAGTACATCTGTTCCAAGAGTCTCTGATACCAAACCTGCTGTGAATTCTTGTGGCCAGCCATGGTTACAGGAAGCAAGACACAAATGCTGTCTTCTAAACAATTAGCTTGCTCTAAGTCCTAGTAGTGAACTGGAATGGGTTACTCACCCTCTTAATTAAATTCCCTGTCTTTCTACTGTTTTACTTAGCAAAACTGTTTGATCAATTTTATGAAAAAGAACATTGGAAAATGTTTCATGACAGTAAAGTAAATGCTATTCCTTATCTTGAGCATCATTTTCATTATAAAGCCACCCTTCTGACAAAGAACTCAGGGATAAGTGCTCTTGCGCAAGTATTCTCGCGCAAGGGGGCCAGTGTAGACAGCCACGTTAATTTCTTGCGCAATAAAGCCTGATGGCTAAAATGGCCATCGGAGCTTTCTTGCTCAAGACAGCGTCTACACTGGCTCGGATGTTTTTGCGCAAAAGCAAATCTTTTGCACAAAGGCACATGCCAGTATAGACACTCTCTTGTGCAAATACTTTTAACGGAAAAACTTTTCCATTAAAAGTATTTGCACAAAATGATGTCAGTCTAGATGCAGCCATAGAGGTTTTTAAGTCCTGGCTTGAAAAAGCCCTGGCTGGGATGATTTAGTTAGGGTTGGTCCTGCTTTGGGCAGGTAGCTGGACTCAATGACTTCCTGAGGTCTCTTCCAGCCCTAGGATTCTATGAATTGTAGTTGGAAGTGTGAAGGAAATATTAACATGAGGGGTCAGATTTCAGAATCTAAATCACAGTCCTTCATCTGGTGGCTCATGGTGGTGCAGACCAATCAGTTTAAAAAAAAAAAAAAAAAAAGGAACTTAAGCTACGTCTACATTGCACATTCTTGCGCAAGAAGATATGCAAATGAAAATAAGCAGCAGAATGGCTCTTGCACAAGAGGGGGCTTTTGCACAAAGAGTAGCAGTGTAGACTGCTCCATGCACAAAATGGCGGCTCATTAGGTATGCAAATGGGGAGTGACAATATTCATCGCTGCGCCTCATTTGCATATCTTCTTGCGCAAGAATGTGCAATGTAAACGTAACAGTCTCTGTAAACTCCTCTATTTAAATAATATAGTGCATTAGAAAAGTTGTCCCTCTCTCTGACACCCTGCAAGAACAAGATTTTCCTTTAAAAATCCCTCTCCTAAACTCTGCTCAGAGTGTGAGTAGCATTAACTATGGTATCACCCCAGAAGGAAATTACTGAAATCAAAAACAGTCATGTTCATTTCAGCTTTATTGAATGCACAAAAGAAAAATCAATGCAGACACAATGGAAAAAAGCATAACAATTGTCAGATGTATTTATGCTAAGCTTCTTTCCAGGAATTATGAACTGCAGGAAATTAAGTTTCCTATAATTATGCTCAATAAACTGGCATCTCATATTGCAATTGGCAAGATAATCTGCTGAACAAAGTAAAATTCTTCACAGCTGATTTTCTGGTCCTTTATCTAGTCTAAGAACCCTCTAGCAATAGAGTCTCCCAATACCTAATAAAGCAGTATTACGTATTAGTTGATTAAACAGATGGTAACAGTACTTCTAGCTTCTCTCTTACATTGTTCTGATAAAATTTCTGTCAATAAACCCTATTAAGAGTTATTCTTCCATGTATGGTACATGCAAAACACAGAGATACGGTCCTGATTCCAAATTAATGGCTTTATAATGGAGGTTACATTACCATGTTTACACAAAAGAACTTTCTAAAGCAGCTAAAGGTAAATTTGTTTATAACCATTACACAGATCAAGTCCAGATTTTTACAATTATCTTTTTTCTAGTATTAAATGTCTACGAATAGTCCAAGCAGAACTATTGGATAACCATGGAGGGAACCCTCAACTATGGGATATTCTTACCCAGTAAGAACTGTTTATAAAATGCATTTCTCTTTCATCATTATATCTTTTCAGATTATGGGAAGTATTCCTGTATTGCAAATATATGTCCACATTTTGGATTTTACTAAAGTTTACATATTCCGTAAGCCATTAATTGGTTTTAAAATAAATTTTAAGATTAATTGAAGTAGATAGATTTAAGGCAGTGTGGACGATTATAAAATTACTATTTTACTAGATATTTTGCTTGTCTTTGCTCAGTCGTGTAGCAAACTCTATTAACGTTCGTGTGGGTCGTCCTGCCATGCCTTTTCGAAGATATGGAACCTCATCTTTATTTGACATCACACCAGCAATATCTAAGTGAGCCCAGTTAGCGACAGTCACAAATTCTTTCAGGAAGGCAGCAGCTGTGCATGCACCTCCAGCTCTGTTGGGAGAGGACAGAGAAGGGCGGGGGGGAAAAACAGATGTTTGAAAACTTAATAAGTCAATAATAAAATGCACACAGAATGGTTATCTATTCCATAGCAACTATGGATTTTCAAGATGTTATAATCAACATGGATCCACATGCAAATCTAGCTATGTTTCTCAGGCTTGTAGCTGTACCTATGCCGCTTAATGTTTCCATACAAAACCATAAAATGGTGGAGCAGCTGCAACCCTCCCTCATTTCTCTCTCAATTAGAAGCTAAGGACTCCAAAAAGTAGGGACAAAGGGCAGAGCAGATTTACACTGACTTACATCTCAAAGAACCACAGTTGCTACAAGGCCAAAAAACAATTCTTCCCCATTCCAGTATTTGTCAGTGTAGTTGGTGGAAGGCAGTACATTTCATCGGGCAATCCAGGGACACAGGGGATGCTGGATTATGGAAGTTTTGCAGACCATGGAGGGTGCTGGAGTGGGGTCTGGGAAGGAGGGAGTGGGATGGGGCGCTTCCTTGATACCCCACTTCCGGGGGCACATGAGGCTCCATGCTGACTGCTGCTCTCAGGCACCATCCCCCACTGCCATGGGAGCAGTGGGGAAAAGCCTAAGGGGAAGCATGTTGCTGCATCACTGTTCTGTGTGCTGCAGAACTGCATCCTTCTCCCCCTGCCAGGATCTGTACCATGGGTGTTCCTACATTAGGGATACACCTGAACCTTCCTACCAAGAGTATCGCCTCAGAATGGTGGGAATGAAAAATCTTAGCTTGATCAGTCAATGACAGAAGCATTGTTTTGCTGAACTTGGCATGGGACCTGGTTGCTGTGTTAAAGACATAGGCTATGTCTACACTGGCCCCTTTTCCGAAAGGGGCATGGTAATTTCAGAGATCGTAATAGGGAAATCCGCGGGGGATTTAAATATCCCCGCGGCATTTAAATAAAAATGTCCGCCGCTTTTTTCCGGCTTTTAGAAAAGCCGGAAAAGAGCGTCTACACTGGCCCCGATCCTCCGGAAAAAGCGCCCTTTTCCAGAGGATCTTATTCCTACTTCAAAGTAGGATGGGACATATGCGCACACAAAGACAACATAAAACTAGAGATGTAAAAGTGTAACTCTGTAACTGCTGAAAAATCATAGCGGTTATACAAGCTGCAAGCTCTGCAGTATAAAGCTTAAGTAAGCTTTAAACTTCGGAGCTCACAGTGAAGCTGCCTCCCTGGGAGTAGAGCCAGGGATGCTGCTAGCCCTGCTCCTAGGGAAGAGGCTTCGCTCTGGGGAGCCACTGTATAATCTACAGCAGTGGCAGGAGAGAGGGACATGGACAGGGACTGTTCTGGGGCTGAAGCAGCCCCCTGCCAAGGGCAGGGAGTTCCTCTAGACTTTACCATTGGAAAAAAAAAAAAGTGCGGGGGGGGGGGGGGGGAGATAAATCTCAACCATTACAGGTGAGGTGTACATGTTAAGCTTTTACATCCCTACCTAAAATATTTTCTTGTGTTAAGATAATGGAGGAAGTCTTCCAAAACATCTAGTGCATAGCTAGAGTCTGGTTTTATGAAAAAGATTAGTAGATTAACTGGTTGATTTAGGTGAAATTCCAAGACTACTGAAGACTGCATCCTAAGTTGATGGCAGAACACCACTGTGTTACTGTGAAAGAAGGTGTAAAGAGATCCATCTCATTGGACCTCATTAGCCTTCCCTTTTGAGGTAAGTCAGCTGAGGGTAAGATGATGAACCAAGCAATCTGACAGCAGCTCAAAAAAGGCTGCTCCATGAGCTTCCAGAGAATAGTGTTGCAATTCCATGCAGAAGTTGGTTCTGATAGGTGGGGGAGTACGCAGGAGGCCCTCGATAGAACTGATGGAGAGTACCACAGACAAGAACATGAGACAGCTCAGAGTGTATGTGTGGTCCGCAGTATTCAAGACTAATGTTGTGACATGAGGCACATGCAAACTAATGCACCTGAAGAACACAATGATACTCAATATTTGGAAGAATTACAGACTCTTGTGCCTGTTTAAATGGACTATAACTCCCTCCCACAGATATAGTGATAGCACTGGTGTTCTCATTCCCAGTTTCCAGATATACAGCTCTCATCATTTTTGAATGGTAAAAATTGCTTATAGTTTGGTGCAGCTCTCCCACACTCACCCCGCTTTGCAGAGACACATGCCCAGAGGTGCACAAAAGGGGGAACTTCCTATGTTTTACTGTGTGTAAGGACTGCACTGTTACATAACCTTGAGTAGGACACACAGTGGTGGCTAGGAGGTTCACAGTATGTTCTTCCTCTGAACAACAGCTGCTATCAACAGCTGCTCCTCAACTGTCAAATAAAGATCAGGCTTTACATACTAGTAATTTTTAAAAGTAAAAATATTAAATCTCAATTCCTGTTTTAAAATCTAACTGTACTAATGTAAGTTCAGAGCATTCCTATAACTTTGGATATGGCTGGCTCTTTCTAAAACAGAAACATGTGATAATCAGTCAAGACAAGAGTTGCTGCATTTCAGTTAAATAATGTACCTGCTATATTTTCCAATGTTACTGAGGTCTGCAAGTTGACATTCGGTAACCTGTTTTGTGTAATGTTCAAAGAGAGGCATTCTCCAAACACGGTCCCCTGTCAAAATACTGGCCTATCAACGAAACAACTGTTATACTTGGGACAAAATAGATATGTTATTTTTTGTTATATTGTCTGTGCAATCTTAGCTTTGGGTGGACTGGTTAGTTATGAAACCACATCAGAAATTAGTAATATAATATAACTTCTAGCATCTGAAAAAATATGCTAGAAAAATAAAAGATGAAACAATTTTTGGATGCTTTAAATGTTGCCCTCTGTGATTATGATAAAAAATAGTCAATTTTCTGCAAGACACATTTTTCTGCTGGTAATGCAGCCTTTTTATAAATCACTTCCCTGGAGGCTTCCCTCAGTTTGACCATATATTATGCGTTGTTAAGAATGTAATGAAAGACACTTAATCAAGACCAATTCACCTTTTAACGTAAGTTACCACTAACCAGTAGATCTAGAATTTACAAATAACCAATAAGCCTCAGGAGGGTGTAAACCCTTGACATACATGTGCATGCCACAGTATGATGTAAGCTATCAAGAAGTATATCAGTGGGTCAGCAATTCACAACTCATACAACTTATACTTCTCAATTAAATGCAATGTTAACCTCCCCCTGCAACACTATAGTTTAAAACTGAATACAACACCTATTTCCACTTCTATAAGAGACATTCAGGAACATACATGTCTATTTAAAAAAAAGTCCTACCTCATAAAGATGAGTCCAAAGCCAAGATGAATTGGTAAAAACTCCAGTTGCAGCAGATCCTAGTGCTACATCCATGGCACCTATAATACACCATACTATAAATCATACTCTTGCTCTTGATGAAGAACCAGCGTGTTTCATCCTCCAACTGTATTTTTATAAGATAATTTCCTATCCTCCCCATCCCCGATTCCTACCTTGGACCTCTGCATTTATTAAAAAAAAATATTGAAAACTTGCTCCTTTATATGAATTAGTAATGAGACTGATTGTACCCATGGTCATCCCTCCTCAATGGAAATGGATGGGTAGGCATCTCCATAAGAGTATCCCTCTTTGCCCAGGACCCCACGGAAGGCGGTTTGGATGGAAGGGAGACTGACAAGCACTATGTCCTCCATACCATGATCATCAGGTAGGAAAGGAAGCACAATCCAGGTCTTTTTGGCAACAGGAATTCCCTTTTCAGGAGGACCCAGTCATCAGCTGGCTAAATCTTGGTGGTACAGATAGAATGGACACTGTCAAAAGGCAAGCTGCCCAAGATAGGGTGGTAGATGGCCCAAATCTCTCATTATCACTGGGCACATGAAATCATCTAAATTCTGTTCTATAATTCACACAGGAATCTGGGAGGAAGCTTAGATACTGCCTTCCCTTTATAACTTGCCTCCCATTGATTGCACCACAGAAGGGGATGGGCTGGCCAATAACCTTAATATAAACTTTTTATCCAGCCAGTTATAAAAGTTCCTTGTATTTCAGCTCTATAGTTACTATTTGGGGACAAATAAAAGGAATACAGACAAGTAACTGAAGCCCAAATGTAGGTTTTCTAAAAGAAAATATTAATAGAAATACTTCTGTGAATTTGTAATGGCATGGCATCCATCTCTCATGCATGCTCCATCAGGTCAGGTATGTCTGCCGTCTTTAAATAGTCCCAGCCCTGATACTGGGCCATACCCCTTAGGGCTTCCTCTCTGGAGCAAAGGTTTTATCCTCTTGATCTACTCTGGCCGTAGCTCTCTAGCTCGACCACTAAGTTCCCCTTCTGGGGATGTCTCACTCTTTAGTTGTAAGCCAGTTCCCCAATGTCCTTTTGGGAGGATGGGGAAGACCCAGGTCTGTCCACTACTTTGGATCCCAGCCCAAAGACCCTAAGAATAGCTGCCATTTGCCACCATCTCCTTTTAATTACACTGCATTCAGTTCCCTTCGCCACTTCCTTGAGGCCTCAACCTTTGCCCATGCTTCACCCTTACCTCAGGGCTCATTTAAGTTCAGACCCAGCAGCCAGCCAGACTGCCAGGAGCTCTTTTCTCGCTGATCCTTGCTAGCACTGAGCTGTCTGTGGTGCTGCAGTCCCCTTAAGCTAGCACCAGCTGCACTCCTCTAGCTACAGCAAGGAACTGACTAGATCTGGCTCTGCAGACCTTTTATATGGCCCTCAGAGGCCCTAATTGGTTGTTTCCTGTAGCCTCTCTGGTTGCGTCCCATGCAGCTACTCCAGGCTCCTTGGAGGACTACTCTACTGCTCCTTTCTTGGGACAAGTGTAGCAGGAACCTGAGGCCTCCAGGAGGAGAGTTCTGGGCCTACTCTGTCCCCCTCACAGTATTTAGTGAAACAGTTTCCTTGTTTGGAATTTGAAATTCCTTTGCTATGTTTGTAATGTAAACTTTTCAGCTTAGGAAACTACAAAACCTGAAGCTTACACAACTGTCTAAACCAGGAGTCTCAAACTCAATTTATCTTTGGGCCAGTGCCAGTGCCAGTCCTCAAATCCTCCTGGTTGGCCAGCAGGTACCACACTCTAGCAGGGCTCTGGGGAGGTGGCGTGGAACTCTGTGCATTCCCCTCATATACATCTCTCAGCTTCGCCTGCTGGTCCACATGCCCTCCCCCCCCACACATCCTCCAGCCCCACCTAGCACCCCCGAGTGACTAAAAACCCACCTGGGGCCCCTGCCACGCAGCACAGCTAGAGTGGCTTATGGATGCTAGTTCCATGCTGCTGCCTGCATATCCCAGTGGCCTGGAGGAGGTGTGTGCAGAGCTGTCCCATCCACAGGTGTAACCTATGAAACTATTAACTCACTTTGTGAAATTGACTAGATACCAGTAAATGCCAACTACCCTGATTTGATCACAAACTTCCTAATGAGTGAGACCCTTTATTCCTGGAAAGCCCCAGCCACATTATGAGAATTAAGCTAGATCTGGGAACTTCACTACCTGATGCCTCATGAACCACTATCAACTATGAGCGCTCTGACTTAGCAGGCTATGCTTGTTTATTGGTGCACGGTATTAGAAGAGAATCCCAGCTTTTTTCTTTTTAAAAAGGAAGATTTTAGGCCTCGTAGTTTGTGAAGCAATGCTAGAAAACATGCCGCGAGTTTGGCCAAAAGACTTCAAACACAGATGCTAAATAAAAATGTCCCAAGTGTATTTTTATCTGTTATTTCAAGAAGCCATTTTATTTTTGGGGGTGGGAGGACTGATTAATGAATTTTGTACTCTTCAAGTTATCAATACAGGGGGAGACACTGAAAAAACCTGAAACTGAGTCGTCACTTTGACATCCTCATTTCCTCACGCTAGGATGTTTTCCCCACCCCACTAATGTCCACACACTTGCCCTGGGATCCTCCCCCCACTAACATCTGCATCCTTGCACTAGAATTCCCTGCCCACACTTGGAGTAACCGAAAGTGAAACTTACCAGCCCCACCTCACTGGCTACAGAAACGTGTCAGTTCGGGTGGCTCCCTGGCCAATGTGGTTCACACGATGGCAGAGGCAGGCAGCATGACTTCCCGGACCAAGCGGTGCTTTCTGCATCCGGGATTATGTGACCACTAGGAGCCATGCATGCGGGAGAGTCCCTGTGCACCACTCACCTCTCCCCTCACCTCCACCTCCATACTGAGCCAGCAGCCATGCAGGCCTGATTAAATAACTTTTTAAAAATGTTTTGCAGGCCAGACTGGGGAAGTGCTTGGGCTGTAACCCAAGTCATCGGCTGGGAGTTTGAGACCCCTGGTCTAAACAGAGTAAGTCAACACGCTAAACCAATTAAATGAAAAAGGCTCTACCAAGATACTGACCACGTATAAGACAAAGAGCTTACACACTAGTGCTTCTGTTAACAGAGGGCTGCTTCTCAATGCTGATCCTTCTTGGGACACGCAGTGTCTGTCAACACTGCAATTAGTCACCTCTGCCAGCCCTGTGCCAACTCACGCACAGGCTCATAGGGCTCCAGCAGCGGGGCTATTTAGTTGTAGTATAGACATTTGGGTTTTAGCTGGCGCTTGGGCTCTAGTACCCTGGGAGGTGGGAGGGTCCTGGAGATAGCTCAGGCTGCAATCTGAGCCAGAACGTCTACACTGCAATTAGACAGCTCCACAGCCTGAGCAAGCTGGCACAGGGCTGTCGCATTTGTCTAGCTACAGTGTAGACATACTCTCAGTGCCCACACAGTGCCCATTTTAACAACAGAGAATATCAATATTAAAAGCTCTGAGGAGATCTGCAAGAGGCCAGAAGCACAAAGAGCTTGGGCTACTCTTCATCTCCTTGGCACTTAGACATCCCAGGCAGAATCAGCATTATCATGGTGGTGGCCACTACCTTCTCTTCTGGTCTGTGAAGTATCTGAAGCAGAAGTTACTTTTATACAAGCCAGTAATCCTGGAATCAGCTTCCTCTTTGGCTGAAGAAGTTACTTTATACACTTATAAAGTAGCATAAACGATTAAATAAATCTAATTAAGACATCATTGACATATAGGTAAAGATTTTTTTGGTTTTCTTTAAATATGAATTTTTAACTCAATGAAATCCTGTTTCTAAAGTATAGACTCCTTTGTTTTTCTGATAAATGTTTTGCTGTGATGTATGAAAACACACATTTATTTTTAAAAAATAAAAATAAGACGTAACTACAACATAATTCATACATAAACAAGGAGAACAAAATACATAGGTGACAAAATTTTCATTTATTAAATGAAAACTTCTCTAAGAAATGTATTTAAGGGGAGTTAGTTTTTCATTTCGAGAAGCTATTTTACAACATAAAGCAGGAAAAAGAAATTGGTTACCTGTTAATGTTGCAGCATTCACTATGGCCTTTGCATTAAAATTGTGGGCATAACAGAGAGCATCAGCTATTAGTAATCTTCCCTCTGCATCTGTGTTATCAATCTGAAGGTACAAGAGAGGGATAAAATGGTCATCTACTCAAAGTTCCCCTTTACTTGACTTGCTTCTTACAAATTCTTTTTAAAGTGACCATCTGGGTTTTTGGCTATCAGATGGAAAGTGGCAGCTGTAATACAGCTTGTGCAATAACAGAAGGTAAATTTAACTCTTTGCAAATATAAATACAAAACAAAAACAGAAAACATTTTGATTATCACTTATTTTCAGAGTAAATAAACTGGAGCAGGACACTAAAATCAACTGAAATGGAGCTCTGAAGCATTCAGAAAATTATTTTAAATATTGAGCAGGGAACCCCAGAGCATTGCTCTAAAGCCTCCCATGCTGAGACTCATAGATGTCAGCAGCACAGAGCAGAGCAAGAGGGGTATTGTAGAAGACTAGTTATTGTCCCCCGCAAAACCCATGGGAATCCAATGGCTATTATCAAGCAGCTGCAGGGGGAGCTAACCAGTGGAAATGTAGATCCTACCAGAACTATATTGCCAGGAGTGAAACTGTAGAGCAACAAAAAAGGCAGAAGGCATTCCTATAAATGGCTCTGACATCTGTGCAGAGACCCCATTTCCTTTGGCTCTTGAGGCCTCTTCTCCCCCCAAATCTATGGCTTCTATAGCCACTCCTGTTTAAGGCAATGCTTTACAGTGGTAGCCCTTTATAGTGATAGCTGCATGGTAGCGCTTGTGATGCTTTCCTGAAACTCCTAGCTCTTTCTCTATGGCAGGGCGTGATGAGGCCGCTCTGAAGCACAGTGATTTAGAACTCAATCTTCATGCATATAGCTTGGTGAAACCTCAGGAAACTGAAAGATTCTAAATATCAAAGCCAAAAGGTAATATCAGATTACACAAAAACTCTGGAAGGAGAAATAGTGATTTGTCAAGTATACAGCAAGGGTGGGGAACCGATTTTCAGTCAGTGGCCACTAACCCACAGAAAAATCAGTTGGTGGTTATCTCCAAGTGAGAAGCAAAAAAAAAAAAAAAAAAAAAAAAAAAAAAAAAAAAAAAAAGAAAAAAAATCAAGAACACCAAAAAAAAAAAAATCAAGAACATCTCACTGACCCAGCCAAAACAATCACCTCATTCACACTCAACATAGGGGACTGGATGTCGCTCACGCTGAGGTTCAGGAACTTTCCAGAGCAGCGGAGTGGAGATTTGCTGCAGGGCTGGAGCATGACCACTGGCTTGCCCCACTGCAGGTTGTAGATTCCCCACCCCTGGGCTGTGTCTACACTGCACCCCTTTTCTGGAATGGTATAAACATGGCTGCCGCTTTTTTCCGGCTCGGGGCTTTGCCGGAGAAAAGCGTCAGTCTAGACAGGATCTTTCAGAAAATAAATCCTTTTCTGAAAGATCCCTCATTCCTGATTTTAAAAGGAATAAGGGATCTTTCGGAAAAGGCTTTATTTTCCGAAAGATCCCGTCTAGACTGGCGCTTTTCTCCGGCAAAGCCCCGAGCCAGAAAAAAGCGGCAGCCATTTTTATACAAATGAAGCGGGGGATATTTAAATCCCCCGCTTCATTTGCAATTCCGACTTGTCTCATCTGCATCCCTTTTCCAGAAAAGGGGTGCAGTGTAGACTCAGCCCTAGACTATAGCATTAGGGCATGTGTTAAAATTTAGCCAATGTGTAATGGTTACATTTCAGATGAAACACAATATATGCATATTAGGCCCTGATTCCGCAAGCTGCTCTGTGACTATGCAGTCTTGTGTGATGGGATGCCCAATCTACACAAGACATGGAGGGGTTAAAGTAGCTAAGCAGACCAATTAACTATTAGCTGCACTTGAAGAAAGTCTGGACGCTCTTGAGCTAAAACGCATCGCATTTTCGATATGCTTTTGCAGTGTAGACATGCTCTTGAGCAAGAAGTTTTTGAGGAAAATCTCTTCTGCAAAAAGCTTCTTGCACAAGAAGCCTGTAATGTAGACATAGCCTCAGAGAGGGGAGGCTAGCTAAGCAGGAAGGAGTCCAGAAAAATCAACAGCAACAGGTAGGACTGTACAGACCCTGGCTACTTATTATAGGGTCCTTGGATTGGAACCTACTGTAGAAGGTGCACCTAGGTTTCCCTACCAGCTTCTGGGAGGTGGCTGAAGGAATTGGAGATATCTAGAAAGTTGGTCCAGAAGGAGTCTGAATTCCCTGGAAGGGAAGAACCTAAGGCTATGTCTAGACTGCATCCCTCTCTCGACAGAGGGATGTAAATGAAGCACTTCGAAAGTGCAAATGAAGCCAGGATTTAAATATCCCGTGCTTCATTTGCATAATCACGTAATGGCGCTCCTTCAAAAAAGCACTATATCAAAATTGAAACTGCAGTCTAGACGCTGTTCTTTCGAAAACAGGGCACTTTTTCGAAAGATCCTGTAAACCTAGACTGCGGTTTCAATTTTGAAATAGCGCTTTTTTGAAAGAGTGCCATTACGTGATTATGCAAATGAAGCACAGGATATTTAAATCCCAGCTTCATCTGTACTTTCAAAGTGCGTCATTTACATCCCTCTGCTGACAGAGGGATATAGTCTAGACGTAGCCTTAGTGATCTGGCCACAGAGCCAAGCTATGAACAGGAAGCTGGAGCTCTGAGAATAAGAAGGGCTGCAGGGTGAAAGAGATGATGGGTAGAGACCATGCAGAAAGAGGACAGTGCCTGGCAGTAGCTCAGCTCCATACCCACCAAAAAGAGGCACAACATGTGATGAATGGACCCTGCCACACACCTAGGTTATACTTAGGTGGAGCAGCGTGTAGCATCCACACCTTAGTTATGTCAGCAGAAGTGTAACATTCATGTTTTACAAGCAACGTGCCTGGAAGAAGGCCTTGAAAATGTAGCAGAAGCAATTACCATTTTGCTTACTGTGTTTGATGACTATCTTTAACTCTGGTTTTATAAGCACTACAACCACTTCCTGTACTGCTATCGCAGATTCTGCAAAATGTAACTTACTGTACTTTTTTGCCTGCCCTCATAATTCATAATTATTAATTTATAATAATTTAGAAACAAAACTTATCAATTTCAGTAAAGTTACTGTATTTTTTAAATTGGTGTATGTTCACTGGTTTTTAAAAATAATGTTTTTGTGCACTCACTGTAACAGAAATTGAAACAGTACAACCTGAGGGATTGGACTGGAAGGTTTAGAATGAACGTGTGTAAAACCAATATAACACACACATACCTGGATTGTTTTTCCATTCTTAGCCCTAACAACATCTCCAGGTTTGCTTGCTCTACTGCTGGGCATATTTTCACAGAGAGGTGCCAAACCTAAGAAGGAAAAGAGAGAAAATTACTGTAGTGTCTCATGGGTTTCTACATTTAGTAGTCAGTCACTACAGAAAAACACTACTTAAAAGAAGATACTTTGCTACCCTTCTGTCACAAGTGATTTTAGTGTATTCTCATCTGGAATTTACATATGATTTCTAGATTTGCGCTTGAAATTTTCTTACTAAAAATGACACAAGCCAAATGTCTCCATTAGTGACAGTTCTTGCATTACACAATTAAGTTTGTATATTTATCTTTAACATGCTACATTCACTCTTCTATTCTATTTTACACCATGGGGTACACCTGATTTAGATGAATGAGGTCAGAATCAGATCCATGGTCTTGAGAGAGCTGTGAGCTTCTCATCAAAATGATGAGGCTCCCTGACAATTAGTTATGCCTAGAACATGTGGGACTGTATGTATATTTAATATGATTATAAAGGGATCCATTAATTTCTGCAATTCTAAAGCTCTCTTGGCAACTAAAATGATTAGGGGGTTTGGAACGGGTCCCATATGAGGAGAGATTAAAGAGGCAGGGACTTTTCAACTTGGAAAAGAGGAGACTAAGGGAGGATATGATAGAGGTATATAAAATCATGAGTGGTATGGACAAAGTGAATAAGGAAAAGTTATTTACTTGTTCCCATAATATAAGAACTAGGGGCCACCAAATGAAACTAACGGGCAGCAGGTTTAAAACAAATAAAAGGAAGTTCTTCTTCACACAGCACACAGTCAACCTGTGGAACTCCTTGCCTGAGGAGGTTGTGAAAGCTAGGACTATAACAGGGTTTAAAAGAGAACTAGATAAATTCATGGCAGTTAAGTCCATAAATGACTATTAGCCAGTATGGGTAAGGAATGGTGTCCCTAGCCTCTATTTGTCAGAGGGTGGAGATGGATGGCAGGATCATTACCTGTTCGATTCACTCCCTCTGGGGCACCTGGCATTGGCCACTGTCGGCAGACAGGGTACTGGGCTGGATGGACCTTTGGTCTGACCCAGTATGGCCGTTCTTATGTTCTCTGGGGAATTTCAAGTGTCTCGTTCCAAACAAACATTTTATAACATCAAAAGAAAGAGATCCAGAGGAACCATTATAGAGCAACAACATGAAGGGAGCTGGGGAAGATGCTAAACAGCCCAAGTCAATGCTCTGATTCCATCCATAGCTATAGTATAAGGCAGGGTGGGCAACCTTTTCTGGGTCGAGGGCCGCTGACCCACAGAAAAACTAGTCGGGGGCCACACACAAGTGAGAAGCAACAAAAGAAAAATGAGCCCTCACTAATGTAGCCCCTGACTGCGTAGAAGACACTCCCTGCATTCCCCTCACACTCCAGAGACTAGCAGGGCTCAGTCTAGTCAATTTTGTGTGCTCCAGCCCTGCGATGAGGTAGCAGGGGAGCTGGAGCACCAGTGAAGGCTCCCCAATGCTGGGGGGAGCCCTGAAGTTTGGGGGCCAGATCCAGGTAAGCTGGGGGCCTCATCTGGCCTCCAGGCCTTAGGTTCCCTACCCTGCTATATGGAAATGGCAGTCCACCAGCCATACCAAAGGGGAAGCCCATGATCCGATGTTCTGGACAGAGCACACTAACGGAGGAGGATGCTGGATTGACATGAAGTAGTTTCCAGAACTAACAAACAATTCCCATAAAGTTGGGGTTTTTCAAGCTTGTCAACTGTGTCAACCTCCTCCTGGACATCCACTTTTGCCACTATGTGAGCCAACTTACTTATTCACAGCTGCACAACATCCTATGGCAACTACACTACTGCTTATATTGGAAAATATTAACAAGTTCTTTAGCTGCCTACATCTCCAACCATAAGCGTGTCTCTTATTTTCTTTCTTCCTGTTCTGCACCAATCACTAAAGGTATACCTACAAAGCAGCGTTATTCCAAAATAACATAGTCCGCGTCCACAGTACAAATAGTAGTGTAATAATGTCAAAATAATGTTGAGCTGTGGGAGTTCTTACTCCGACTCCTCTAACTCTAATTTTACGAGAGTAAGGGAAGCCAGAGGAAGAGTGCTGTCTCTCAGACTTTCTGCTGTATAGACAGTGCCAAAAGCCAAAATAAGCTATTTCGACTTGCTCAATTTACGTAGCTCAAGTTGCGTAGCTTATTTCAGCTTTAGCCCTGCTGTGCAGACATGCTGTAAGAGGGGAGGCAAATAAGCTGGCTCTTCCTCATTTCCAGCTGTTTTTGCCGATATCTTTATAATGAAGAGCCAGAGCATTTGTAAAAGCAGTTGGAAACAAAAGGAGACTTACTTGGCCTTCCAGTTTTCCAGAGACTATCCGTAAGTGCTCCCCGGACCAAGTATTTATTAACATTGGCTAAACTAGTGGAATTACTCCATTATCTCAGCAGCCAGGTGCTTGTTTTTCTGGAACCAAAGACTGCAAGTTCTATTCGCAATACTGGATTTGTGACCAGTTATTACAGTACGTATGTTTAGTCATGCATTGCTACTTTGCACATTAGGTTAATAGCCCCTCTTCCCCTCCAACAGTGGGTACTTTTGTTCCTGACTAGGGTTTATCTTATTAATGTACAACTCAATATTTCTGCCTCACAAATGGCATTTTTGTGATTTACACAGTCAGACAGGACTATCTGTACAAGTCAGTACTTCCAGTTTTCAACAGTATATATTCTGGAGATTCTAACCTCTTTCAATCGGTTTTATTACTATACTAACATACTGTAAAAATAACTCTTTTTGACAGCACATATTTTAAGTTAGGTTTTCCTATCCTTTTTGGGGATGCATCATGCCAATCTCTGGTCTGATTGCTTTTAAAACAAAGCAAATACAAAAAAGTATAATTATTTGAAAATCAACAGCAGTCATCATCAGGAGTATCCCACATCTGGGTCCATCTTACAAGAAGTCAGGCACCTCATGCAAGTCCCAAATGCTTCCAATTCCTTTAAGACATGAAAGGTGTGTCTGTAGAGGTGGTTTTGGAACAAACTGATAGACTAAATGGTAACAAGTCACAAGGACCAGATGACATACACCAGATGGCAAGAGCCCTGAAAGAACTTAAAATGTGAAACTGCTGAACTTCTAACTGTGGTTTGTGACCTATCCTTTAAATCAACTTCTGAATCAAATAACTAGAGGATAGCTAATGTGACAATTTTTAAAAAGGGTTCCAGCGTTGATCCTGGCAGTTACAGACCGGTAAGTCTAGCTTCAATAATAGACAAATTGGTTGAAACTACAGTGAAGAACAGAATTGTCAGACACAGAGGAACATAATTTGTTGGGGAAAAGTCAACATGGTTTCTGTAAAAGGAAATCATGCCTTACTAATCTACTAGAATTCTTTGAGGGGGTCAACAAGCATGTGGACAATAGGGATCCAGAGAATATAGTGTACTTAGAATTGCAGAAAGCCTTTGACAAGGTCCCTCACCAAAGGCTCTTGCAGAAAGTCCTCCCATGAACCGGAAACTGGTTAAAAAAATAGGAAACAAAGGGCAGAATAAATCAGTTTTCAGAATGGAGAGGGATAGCTAGTGGTGTCCTGCATGCATCCATTCTGGGACCAATCCTATTCAACATATTCATAAATGATCTGGAGAAAGTGGTAAACAGTGAGGTGGAAAAATCTGCAGATGATACCAAACTGCCCAAGATAGCTAAGACCAAAGCAGACTCTGAAGAACTTCAAAACAATCTCTCAGAACTAGGTGACTGGGCAACAAAATTGCAAATTAATTTTAATGCTGATCAATGAAAAGTATTGATCCCAACCACACATACAAAATGATGGTGACTAAATTAGCTAATACCACTCAAGAGAAACATCTTGGAGTCAATATGGACAGTTCTTTGAAAACATCCACTCAACATGCAGCAGCAATCAAAAAGGCAACAGAATGTTAGAAATCATTAAAAAGGGGAGAGAATAAGACAAAGAATATCTTAATGCCTCTATATAAATCCAGAGTACTCCTACATCTTAAATACGGTGTGCAAATGTGGTTGTCTCATCTCAAAAAAGATATATTGGCATTTGGAAAAGTTCAAAAAAGGCAACAAAAAAAGATTAGGGGTTTGGAACGACTGCCATAGGAGGAGAGATTAATAAGGCTGGGACTTTTCATCTTAGAAAAGATATAATAGAAGTCTATAAAATCATGACTAGCATGGAAAAAGTAAATAAGGAAAAGTTATTTACTTGTTCCCATAACACAACTCAAATGAAGAAAATGAAATCAATAGGTAGTAGGTTTAAAATAAACAAAAGGAAACATTTCTTCACACAATGCACAGTCAACCTGTGGAACTCATTGCCAAAGGATGTTGTGAAGGCCAGGACTTTAAGAGGGTTCAAAAAAGAACTAGATAAATTCATGGAGGATATGTTCATTGATGGCTATTAGCTAGGATAGGCAGGAATAGTGTACCTAACCTCTGTTAGTCAGGGGCTGGGAATGGGCGATGGATCATTTGATTGATTACCAATTTTGTTCATTCCCTCTGGGGCACCTGGAATTGGCCCCTATCAGAAGACAGGATACTGGGCTAGATGGACCTTTTATCTGACCCAGTACGGCCATTCTCAATGGGCGTTAAAGAAGGATAAACACTTCACAGGATCAAGCCCAGCGTGGGTGTCAGAACTGGTAGTTTACATCCACACCATTTATGAGACACTACCCACCATAAGAGATTCCACAATAGTTTATATTACTAGATATACTCTATTCTATTTCTTTGTAACAATGTATGGACACTAGCTTTAATTTTCTTACTCTGTAAGTCTCAAAACACCAAACAAGTCGGGACCAGACTGAGGCACATGCATGTTAGACAGACAGTTCCAGTTGCTCTGAACCACGATTCTAGCCAATGAGGCAGAGACAAAAAAGTCTCCACCCAGTTCTGTGTGTCATACATTTTCCCTCAAAATACTTCTAATCCAGTCTTGCAAAATTCTTCTCACCATGCTAATTTTTGACAGGCAAGTAAAATATTGGGATTTTTTTTGCACAGTTATGAAAGGAATTAGGTGATGTGATTAGCCTCGTAAGTATGCGGGAAAATTTTGAGCAGCCATTTCCATTACTGAAATTAAAATAGTAACATTTTAAGCCATATTTTTTTATGTTGTTCCCCTCCCCCCCTCACAACTTACCAATTATATTAAGAGGTAGATTTAGGGTTGCTGCTGTCACAATGGCTGAACACACAGTTGCTGCTCCTCCCATATCTGCTCTCATTGCATCCATGCCTGAAGAAGGCTTAAGTGAAATGCCACCACTGGGGATATATAGGTAAGAACAAATACCAACTGAAAATTTCATTCAGCACACAGGCACCTTACACCACATGCTTTAAAATAACTATTTTGTCTATATGTATTTTACACAATAATAGCAATAGGTTTTTAAAAAAATTCTAATATTCTAAAAAGCAATATATCTGGTTTTAGTAAAAGTTAACCTCACAGATCAGTTTAATCTGACACAATAAAACATCTCTCAGATAATCTGGAGCATGCTAAAATGTAACAAGGCAAACACATTGTTCTTCTAAATGTAATTCAAAGATAATTCCCCCTCTGCAATATTCGGGCTCCTTTTACAAACAATACACAATATGTCAGTGTTAGCTTATCTGCCTGTTTTTTAGAAAAAAGAGCTAGTGGCACAATGCCAAATATTTTCACAATACCCATTTTTATACACACATCTATTCCTTCATAATTGGATTACAGTTTTTGTTTCAGTCATAATAAAATGAGCAAACATACCTATCAAATGTAACTCCTTTTCCAACAAACACTAACGGAGAGTCATTTGCATTACCACTGCCTGCATAGTGAATCTCCAAGAAGACTGGAGGCTCATCTGAGCCCTTAGCTATACTCAAGAATGCTCCCATCTGTTGTTCCTCTATCCATGCTTTTGATCTACAATAAAAAGATTTTAATTATATGCATTAAAAAGAGACTAAAAATATACAAATGATCATAACTCAAAACATGCATGCAATTCTATTTTTCCTAAATGACTGACTGCAAAGTCAAATCACTGTTTTTCACCCATTGCTTCTTCTTTGTTAAATAGAAAAACACTCTCTCAAAGTAATTTTGTTTTCCCTTATAAATTATTTTTCCTGGTTTTCCACATTAGAAATATCATGCCTTCCCTCCTCACCTTTTTGGCTGGAGGCATGTTCTAAGATCTTTGGAAGACCCGAACAGTAATGTGACATGAGACTACTCCCACAAAGCAGAAGGGCACAACCTGGTTCTACGGTATCAAAGAAACTGCTACATTGTGGGCAAATTAATAGGAGCAGGACAGATAGGGAGAGTTTGCTTATCATCTCCAATGGAAGAAGGGGTGTATATGTACTGGGAAGTAACATGAAAAGACTTTTTAAAAAAGGAAGAAGATGGGATTAGAAATATAGTCACTGATCTGATATTTGGTTTCCTTTTCTGTCATTTCTTAGAAGGCTTATGTTACAAAAGGATTAACATTTTCATCTTGTTTCTTTATTTTTGTCCCAGCAGCCTCTCTCTGTCTCCTGTAGTGACTGGAAGCCTTGCTCTTGATACTGAGAATAGTTACTTTTGAGCACTAGCAAAACTTGTATTCATTTAAAATTTACAGACTGTTACACAAATACATTCCTTCCATTTTGTCATCTTGAATTGCAAAAGGTAAAAATAAAAGTGAGCTCACTGCAAACTCTAGGAGACTTTTACATGCTACATCTTAATCAATTACAACATAGGGTATTTCTACACTTGAACCCTAGTTCAAACTAGGGATGCAAATGTAGGCATTCAAAATAGTCAATGAAGCGGGGATTTAAATATCCCGCGCTTCATTAGCATGATCTCGCCGGCGCATTATTCCGATCGACAGCTATTTCGAAAGTGAAAATGCGAGCCGGGACATGTTAGTTTGAACCAAGCCCCTTGGTTCGAACTAACGCATCCTGGCATGCACTTTCACTTTCGAAACAGCTGTAGATCGGAGTAATGCGCCGGCGAGATCATGCTAATGAAGCGCTGGATATTTAAATCCCTGCTTCATTGACTATTTTGAATGCCTACATTTGCATCCCTAGTTCAAACGAGGGTGCAAGTGTAGACATACCCTTACAGACAAGGAATGATTTCAGATGGACTTACCTTATATGAACCGTCACGTTGCTATTGACACTTCTGAGTTTATTTTCAAAAATTTCAGCAAATTTGATTGGTGTTATATAATTAGCTGGAGCCTCCATCAAGTAGCGAGCCAAATTTTGCCCCTCAGCATAGATGACACCTTTCTGCCAGTCTTCCTTTCCATCACTATACACAGACCAGATAGTTATAATTGAATTCTAGCAAAAACAGGATTGTCTGTATACAATTGTTGTCTATATTTTGAAAACTGCCCCATTGAAGGAAGGTGATAAGGACCTGTGATATGGTATCTCTTATTATAGGAACATTGGAACTGCCATACTGGGTTAGACCTGAAGTCCACCTAATCTAGTTCAGTATCTGTTTATGTCAGTAGTCAGAACAAGATGTTTCAGAGGAAAATGCATGAAATCTCCAGTAGAAGAAATGGGATAATTTCTGCCCCTCCCTCTATTAGCACTCGTAATAGTTAGCAATTACCTTATATCCTGAAGCATGAGTTTTAATATCCCATCCATTATGTGTGTTCACAATGATTAAAACAAACAATTCTGGAAATTCTTTATTCTCCACATAACTGTGCAGTCCATTTTTTAATCTTACTACTGTTATGATTATTAGTTGACAAAGGTGGAGCTTGGATAGTGACATTCCAACTACAAAGCACAGTTTTGGTCACTCAACTGTCAACAGCCACAGGAAGGCGTTCATAAAGAGATATCCCTAAATCCTCAGGAGTACGGGATCTTTTGAAAAAGGTGTGGTTTTTTTTCCCCCAGAAGAACCATGTTTACACGGTGCTTTCACTTTCGAAATACCCCTTTTCAAAAGACCACTGTGACATGATTATGCAAATGAAGCGCAGGATACTGAAATCTCTACTTCATTTGCACTTTCAATTTGGCTAATTTACATCCCACTTTCAACAGAGGGAAGTAGTTTAGACAGAGATTTTCCTAGACTACTAATTAATAGGAAACAACTGCCCTCCCTCAAGGAAATAACTTGTATATCCAATTCTCATTCCCTAGGAGAAGGGGAAATGTGCAAGGTGTGCAGGGGAGGGTATATAAAAGAAGTAACTGAACTTTTCTGAGGAAGTGCTATATTACTGAGATAAGTTCCATTATTTATCTCAGCTCCCAATGATAGGCCAATGCCATTCGGAATACAAAAGAATTGTGTGTCATTTTTCTTGTTGCATAATATGTTGCCTATCACAGTGTACCTAGTGATCTGTGCAAAGCATGCTAAGTTTCAAGAGTTTATCAGGGCTCCAGAAAGGATCAGGCAATTCTGAACAACAAGATAAACAGAAGAGGTACAAATCCAAACATTTCAGGGCACAAACACACTTCCAACAAAGGTTAGAAAGTGTCTTACTATGGATCCAGTATTATAATTGTTCACTAGGGAGTTTCTTGCAACTTACTACTACAGATAAGGTATCACGTAGTCTGGTCCGGTCTAGCATTTCTCATGTCTTCGAAGGGTTTGTTTATATAGAGAGAGAAGTCCTGCACTTCTGAGTTTTTGGGCTTGGTACCATTAAAAGCACTATACACATCATAAAACAGACTGTTGTGTTTGCCTCATCTTCTTTCTTAATCCCAGACCCTTCTCTGCTGCCGGGATGCAATTATGAGGGGAAAAACAAACATGGGACAACTGGCAATGGCAATTAGACATGCAAAGCAAATGCTGTAAAGATGTCTACTGCTAAAATATGCAACACAATATGAAAGAGTTGGTAGGAGAAGGAATGCTCTTAAGTATCCAAATGTTTCACAATTAAAACATTAGTTTGTCATCACCTTCCATGTAGCTGAGCAGTAACTACAGGTTTCTTTTTTTGCTTAAGTTCATTGTATTCATATAGTCCAAGAACAGCTCCTTCTGCAGCAGACTGAGCATCTCCACATGGGTCTATTTCAATACAAGGAATCTCCAGGTCCTGAACTTGTCTGCATCCAACTGGAAAATACAATACATCAGTAAGTGAGTACTGACTGCAGCAGCAGAATGGATTCCTGAGATTATATTAAAATGACTTTTCAAGGAAAGAACTCAGTGCTATTGATCCTTGCATAAACCAGCCCCCCCCCGCCCAAAAAAAAAACCCATGATGCTGCTATAAGCTTTGTTCTATTGAAATTTTTAAAAAACAGAGTCTTGGGATTCCCCATACAACAGTGAACTCTTAATATAACTTATCAAATAAGCAATTCAGCAAGGGTTGAAAGACAAAACCAAAGTTCTTAAAACTACACAACTTTAGGAGTACTTCAGGTGACCAAAGCCTGTAGCCAGCAGAAATGAAGTTGTAATACAGCGTGCTTCTAGTAACGCTGAAATAACAGTTAATTTTTTTAATTCATAACAACCTTTTGATTCTAAAGACACATTTTGGAATAGCAGAAAATATGGATGTATTCCATAAACAAGGGACTGTCATATAACAGCCCTTCCTGGGAGCACCCTACTACTGCACATCATGGCATGACAGACACATAGAATCATAGAATAATAGGACTGGAAGGGACCTCAAGAGGTCATCGAGTCCAGCCCCCTGCCCTCAAGGCAGGGCCAAGCTCTGTCTACACCATCCCTGACAGATGTCTATCTAACCTGTTCTTAAATATCTCCAGAGAGGGAGATTCCACCACCTCCCTTGGCAATTTATTCCAATATTTGACCACCCTGACAGTTAGGAATTTTTTCCTCATGTCCAATCTAAACCTCCCCTGCTGCACTTTAAGCCCATTACTCCTTGTCCTGTCCTCAGAAACCAAGAGGAACAAATTTTCTCCTTCCTCCTTGTGACACCCTTTTAGATATTTGAAAACCGCTATCATGTCCCCCCTTAATCTTCTTTTTTCCAAACTAAACAAGCCCAGTTCATGAAGCCTGGCTTCATAGGTCATGTTCTCTAAACCTTTAATCATTCTTGTCGCTCTTCTCTGTACCCTTTCCAATTTCTCCACATCTTTCTTGAAATGTGGCGCCCAGAACTGGACACAGTACTCCAGCTGAGGCCTAACTAGTGCAGAGTAGAGCGGCAGAATGACTTCACGAGTTTTGCTTACAACACACCTGTTGATACAACCTAGAATCATATTTGCTTTTTTTGTAACAGCATCACACTGTTGACTCATATTCAACTTGTGGTCCACAACATCTACCTAAGTTTCCCTCTTTCAGCATCCCCAAGTAATTCTACTCAGGCTTTGTCTCAGTACGACTCTCTCTTGCTGCTTCTCTCTTGCTGCTTCTGTAATAAACCAGCACAACATACATAGTCCGAAACACAGGATCCAAAACCCAAGCCCATTTTTTGGATCAGTGTAATCATTAAGAGCTCCTGACATCTTACTCCCTTGACTTCTTACATACCACATATTGGCATTTGCATCCATGCCCAGGCACTCTGTCAGTCCCCTCCATCTTGTACCAGAACAGTTACCCCAGCCCTTTCAAGTGAAGTGCAACCCTGCTGTTCCCATCAGGAACCTCTGCCAGTCTCTCTTCTCAGGGACATCCGTGCCAGTGGAGCATTCTTCACTCTTCTTGGACCTCTCATGATTCCTCTGGGACCAGCTCTCCAGCCCTGGAGATGTTGGCAAGCAAGCTCCTCCCTTGCTCACCTGTCTTCAGTTCTGGCTCTCTGGGTTATAGCCAGCAAGCAACTCTCCCAGTTGCTGCTGCTCCTGCTTTTCAGCCTTTTCCAGCCCTCACTCTTTGGCTTGTGGATATCAACCAGCAAGTCTGTCTTTCTTTTATCCTGCCTTCAGCTTTCTTCCAGGTCCAACACATACTCTCACACAGGCAGCCCAGATTCACCAAGTCTGTCCGACACACTGGATCTCTTCCTGTCTGCATCTCCCTGATCCTTTACAGTTCCCAGGTGCTGACCCACATGCTTATTTGGCCAACTAGAAGCACCTGTTCTAGCACAGAGGTGATGGACCTACTTATTTACTGAGGCCAGCCACCCTGTGAAAAGGACCAAGGTCCAAATGCACCATCCCTCCCAATTAAAATGCGAGAAAGCAAGACTATACCAAATTATGAGAAACTACATAAACATGACCAATACCCACACCGCATGATTTCACTGACTGCAAGAGACAGAATACTCACAAACTGATAAGGAACTTTCTTTGGCCCCCAACTAATGGGGGAAAGGGGAAGAAACAGTGACAATCTATAAAAATGGAAATAGGGACAACCAGGAGAATTACAGACTAGTCAACTTAAGTATCTGAAAAGATAATGGAGCAAATAATTAAGCAATATGCAAACACTTAGAAATGATAAAGTGATAAACAACAGTCAATATGCATTTGTAAGGAACCAATCATTTCAAACCAATCTAATAACCTTATTTAACGAGGTAACAAATCTTGTGAGTGGGGGGAAATGGTAGATGTGCTTTATCTTGAATTTAGTAAGGCTTTTGATACCATCTCACATGAACTTCTCAAACAAACAGGAAATACAGCCTAGATGGAGCTACTATAAGGTGGGTGCATAACTGGTTGGAAAACCATTCCCAGAGAGCAGTTATCAATGGTTCACAGTCAAGCTGAAAGGAAATATCAAGTGGGGTACCACAAGAATCACATCTGGCTCTGTCTGATATCTTCATCAGTGATTTGGATAATGGCATAAAAAGTACACTTATAAAGTTTGTGGATGATACCAAGATGGGAGGGGATGCAAGTGCTGTGGAGGATAGGATTATAATTCAAAATTATCTGAACACACTGGAGAAATGGTCTGAAGAAAGCAGGATGAAATTCAATATGGACAGATGCAAAGTACTCACTTAAGAAGGAACTATCAGTTTCACACATGCAAAATGGGAAATGATTACCTGGGAAGGAATATGGAGGAAAGAGATCTGGAGGGTCATAGTAGATCACATGCTAAAATATGAACCAACAGGCATAACTCTGTTAAAAAAAGTAAACATCATTCTTGCATCTATTACTCCACACTGATTAGGCTTAAACTGGAGTAGTATGTCCAGTTCTGGGAGTCACATTTCAGGAAAGATGTGGACAAATTGGAAAAAGTACAGAGATGAGCAACAAAAATGATTAAAAGGTCTTGAAAACATGATCTGTGAGGAAAGACTGAAAAATAGCTTTTTTAGTCTGGAGAAGAGAAGACTGAGGGGAACCATCATAACAATTTTCAAGTACAAAAAGGGTTTTTACAAGGAGGTGGGAGAAAAAGTGTTCTCGTTAACCTCTGAGGATAGGACTAGAAGCAATGAGCTTAAATTGCATCAACAGCAGTTGAGACTGGACATTTGGATAAATCATCAAGGTAATTAAGCATGGGAATAAATTGCCTAAGGGAGGTTGTAGAATCTCTGTTACAGGAAATTTTTAAGGGCAGGTTAGACAAACACCTGTTATGACTGGTCTAGATAATATTTAATTCTTCTATGAGTGCAGAGACTGGACTAAGTGATCTCTTGAGGTCTTTTCCTGTTCTATGAATCATAGAATCATAGAATACTAGGACTGGAAGGGACCTCAAGAGGTCTTTGAGTCCAGTCCCCTGCCCTCATGGCAGGACCAAATACTGTCTAGACCAGTGGTCCCCAACCATTTGAGGCTGCCGGGCCCAGGGAGCATGGTACAACAAATAGTCTAGCATGGGGGAGGGCAATAATTTTTTGCCAGGCCACACCAGAAGGGGCAGAGCCTCAAACGGATGGGGTGGAGCCAGAATACTTCTGGGCTTCCCCACCCACAGAACATGATTGGTCAGGGGGAGCCCCTTTGTCTCCCCACAGGTTCTCCCTAAGCACCCATGGCCCTGGCGGTGAGAGGAGACTTTCTGTGCTCTCCCATCCCCAGGCCAATTAGAGCCTGGAGGGAGGGGGGGGAGCACGTGAAGTCTCCTCCAACCCTGTCCGGAGCATAGACTCATAGAATACTAGGACTGGAAGGGACTGCAAGAGGTCATCAAGTCCAGTCCCCTGCCCTTCTGGCAGGACCAAATACTGTCTAGACCATCCCTGATAGACATTTATCTAACCTACTCTTAAATATCTCCAGAGATGGAGATTCCACAACCTCCCTGGGCAATTTATTCCAGTGTTTGACTACCCTGACAGTTAGGAACTTTTTCCTAATGTCCAACCTAATCCTCCCTTGCTGCAGTTTAAGCCCATTGCTTCTTGTTCTATCCTCAGAGGCCAAGATGAACAAGTTTTCTCCCTCCTCCTTATGACACCCTTTTAGATACCTGAAAACTGCTATCATATTCCCCCTTAATCTTCTCTTTTCTAAACTAAACAAACCCAATTCTTTCAGCCTTCCTTCATAGGTCATGTTCTCTAGACCTTTAATCATTCTCGTTGCTCTTCTCTGGACCTTCTCCAGTTTCTCCACATCTTTCTTGAAATGCCCAGAACTGGACACAATACTCCAACTGAGGCCTAACCAGCACAGAGTAGAGTGGAAAAATGACTTCTCGTGTCTTGCTCACAACACACCTGTTAATGCATCTATAATGAAGAAATGCATAATATTTCATGCTTTCTTGTCAGGGAAATAAAAGTCTTAATTACCATCTAACCATCAGCAGTAAATACAGGAAATATTTAAAATTGTCATATGTGCACAGGTTATAGGCAGGGCTTGACAAACAATGTAATCTACTCACCTCTGGTGAGTAGATTACACCCCGGAAGAGCCGGCGCAGAGCAATCTGCGCATGTACAGAGCACAGAACCACACAGCTGGTGAGCAGGGCTCGCCGCTGCTCGGTGAGCCCTGGTTATAGGCAAAGTGAGTATGGTTATAATCTTGTCAATTTCACTAATTCTCAGGAGGAAGTGGAAGTGACAGAGTTTTTCAATTTCACACTATTTGGGAAAGCTACGAGAAACAGTTACTGGAGTTGCGACAAGGAGTCCTGTGGCACCTTATAGACTAACAGATGAATTGAAGCATAAGCTTTCATGGGCAAAGACCCACTTCATCAGATGCATACTGGAGTTGTGTGTTTGCAGACACAGGAAGACTGCATCTATTCTTATTTGTAAGGTTATCTCTATAACGATAAGACTGGAGGTATTGTGTTGTGTTTTATGTTTGTTTATGACAGGGGAAGGAAGTAGGGAGATTTAAAAAAATATGGAAAAATTATATTCTGCAAAAATTAAAGAGGATGGCCCTTTTATCACCAGGGAAACCTTTCTACTTGTTAGTGGTAAGTGAATTTTCGAAGCCATGTATTAGGTCTTACGATTTAAAACAGAATGTGTTATGGTCTGTTTCATTTAAGCTCATGTGCATCACCAAAAACGGAATGTATCACATTACAGCAGGGCTTCAATAGATCAAATACTTGCAACAGGAACAAATATTAAATGAAAACAAGTTAACCTGCAACAGCTGTCCGAATATTTTCTTTGTCCTCATTCCAATTTTCTTGATCATTTACTCCAGTAGCCTTCTTACCCAAACCGACAACTACAACACTCGGAAAATCCTGTGCAAAATCAACACACAAGTGGATTTAATTTGTTCACTTTGATAGCTATGGTTGAAGATTAATATATGAATGATAAAGAGCATCCTTTTTAAATGAAGTCATACATAAAATGAAAACATATGTATTATCGTCAGCATGTCATTATCATAACAATCTCCTCTCTACCTCTGCATATTTGCATAAACTAGGGATGTAAAAATGCAGTTAAAAATGTAACCGTGTAACCGCTAAAAATCAAAGCAGTTACCGGTTACACAGCTGTTGGGCCCTGCAATATAAACCTTAAATAAGCTTTATATTGCAGAGCGTGCAGCAAAGCCTCCCAAGGAGCAGGGCCGGCTCCTGGGGAGGAAGAATCGCTGCCACAGCAAAGCCACCTCCCTTCGTGCAGAAATGGCAGGGGTTGCTGCTGGCCCCACTCCTGGGGAGGAGGTTTTGCTGCCAGCTCCCAGGGAGCCAGCGTGTAACCTGCAGCCAGGGGTTATGGCAGGGAAAGGGGGTAGCCAGGCCCTCCATGGAGTTGCTCCAGCTCCTACCAGTTAACAGGTTAACTTTTTACATCCCTAGCATAAGTAGATGGACAACTTCAATATTATCTAATTGTTAATATTTATTTGCATTATTGTGATGCTTAGAGGGCCCAGCCAAGGTCCCATTGTGCTAAGCCCTGTCGACAGACAAATAGACAGACAGACACACACACACACAGAGAAAAGCTGGTGTCTGTCCCAAAAGCAATCCAAGTAATAGGACTGTTCTTATTGGCTTTGTATTCACTATACCATATCAAGCTTTGTGCACTTTACAGCCTGTCCCCACCTCCTAGTTCACACAGCATAGAACGATGCCTCCCATCCTGAGCAAGGGCTGCTTCACAATTCAAAGGCAGCAGGCCAGTGGCTAACTGATTCTCTGCACATATATGCCCTTTTTTAGATCCCCACAGAGAGCAAGAAAAAGTCCCCAAAGAGGGCACTATGCCTTTCCCCAGCTTACCACTGCTGAAAACTCTTTCTAGTGCTGCTATGGCAACCTACAAACAGCAGTACTTACAAGGAAACAAGAAAGTTGCAATCAGTTTAGTGTAACAGTCAGGAATGGGAGAGGAGAAAGGAGAGCGTATCTAGAGCTATGGGAGACTGAGAAAAAACAGAGGTGAAAGAAATAGCTAAAATGTAATGTGTTTTTATCCACAAAGATATAAAGGTGGAGGGATCTCTGTTTCTCTTGTGTGGGATGAAGAAAACATTCAACTTGAGGTTGCCTCACACTTCAGTTACAAAAGCTATGCTCTTTCTATTTATAATAATTTGATTTCAAACTGTTGTACCATGCAAAATCTAGCTCACAACTGACTACACACTTTTCAGAACAGCTACAACCCACAGTGATTTAAACTGTCTTCTTCTTTTCTCTCATGCTCTTGGGGAGAAAATTGCACAGGGCCAATTCTACAGTTTTTTCATGCAAGAAATCCCTGCTTAATTTAATGGCAGTTCCACATGCTACTGAATTGGGATTTTGGGACCTGATCTAAACTCCAGTGAAATCTATGGGAATCGTTCCATGACACTGTTAGACTATTTCTTTGAAATCTTACAAAAACCACAGTATAGCAGCACATTATATTCAAACACAACAATATTTAATGACAAAGTATAACATTCTGCTGTAATAATATGCTGCACCCAAAATGAGCATATAATAAGGAGTAATGCCAAGACTCAAATTCAGGGAATGTACTAATCATTATACTCATGAAAATTCAAGTTTCATACCTGATGCAAGCCATGAAATAGGCGTGTTTTGCCTTTCTTCAAAGGAGGCCCAGATCTAGAACACAAAAAGGTGCCATGAAATCTTTTAAAAAGGAGTTCCTAATTTTTTGGTAATAGTTTAATTCTCCACTCATGCTATACGCATTAACTCCATAAAAGGATACTGGTTCAGAACTGATTCAAAGGGACCTCTTACAGACTCACCATCACGACTGTTTTTTCATTAGAGGTTTCTTTATCTGATTACTGACTTAACCCAATTCGGTTTAGCCAGAAAAATAGGAATATCAATGCATAAGATTGTTACAGTTTGCAACCATACAATCACGAAAAATGTATTTTCCATGTTTAAAATATTTTTAAAAATGTAAGAAATTGATCTAAACACTTACATGGACAATAGTTCTGTCAGCTTTCCACATACAAGTCGATCAAAAGTCTCTCCAGCATCAGTAAAATGAGGAGCCGCTTCTTCTTTTTCTTTTGCATAGACTCCTAAAACAAGGCCCTTCCGGAGAAAAAAAGTGCATTAATGCAAGATATTCTTTTTCTAAAAAATATATATTGAGATTTGATAAATATAATCATAACACTATATAAACAAAGATTTAGTGGACTCATCTTACCTAGAGTCAAAAGTAAAAAATCATGAGTAGATAAATTAGGATACAAGACAACCCAAGACCAAAAGTAACATGATTCAGATCATTGTGCTGATTTTAAAGGTATTTTGATAAGTACAGATACTGGGTAGATGCTTTATAAAATCTTACTAGGCACATCCCTTTAAAACTCTGGCCTATTATGCCTAGAAATGCAGTTTCCAAATGCAGGCTATTTTTCTTACTAATTAACGTTATCTCAGAACAGGCAAATCTTGAAAAAAGGGAAAAGTTACATTGTGTGCGAGTGGAGGTCAAGGTCCAGGACATTATCAGGAAGGAAACAAAAAAAGCTGAACTAGAGAAAATCAGGTGCAGGATGGTTCTGCATTGGCAGACAGTGGAAGATCAGCTTCCAACCGAATGACCTCTAATAAGTATTTCTGGACTCTGGCCCCGATCCCACGGAGGTTTAACTCTGACAGCCCCCGCCAGGACTCGCAATGCTCCTGCGCACATGATGGGGGCGTGTGAGCGGCTCATTCATCAGCCCTAGTGCAAGCAGCCGAGCTCGGGAACTCGCAAAGTCGCCGAGTGAGTGTAACAGCGCGAACATGCGCAGCAGGAACCAGGGAGTGGCGAGGGCGGGGGATGACATTTAGCCACGGAGGTTTAACTCTGACAGCCCCCGCCAGGACTCGCAATGCTCCTGCGCACATGATGGGGGCGTGTGAGCGGCTCATTCATCAGCCCTAGTGCAAGCAGCCGAGCTCGGGAACTCGCAAAGTCGCCGAGTGAGTGTAACAGCGCGAACATGCGCAGCAGGAACCAGGGAGTGGCGAGGGCGGGGGATGACATTTAGCGGCCAGCCTGACAGACAAGGGGGCCAGCCCCGCCCCGGGGGCACGCATGAACCCAAGCTGCAGGCGAGCTCCCTAGGGCGCCCGCCCTGCACGCGTGGCCTGGGCAGCGCCTGTGTGCAGCTGGTCGCGCCCCGCC